CGGATACATGAATTCGTAATGACGATTCTCCGAGAAATCTGCAAATCAATTCAGGCTCCTACCAGCGGTTTTATGACACGAGGCTCGCATCGATCGTCGCGGATCATTCGCGTTATCCAATAACGAATCCAATCGCTCCGTGAGCCGCACGAATTTCGCTCTCGTGACGGCGAGAGGCGGCTGTTCGATTTCACCATTCTCGAAATTCGTCGCCGGTGAAAAGGAATACCGAGTATACCCGATCGCTTCGGGTCGAAAGCGCAATCACTCGCTCTCGATCGAGACGTTTCCGGGAGGCGTATCCGTTCCGACGTTCGGGTAACGTTACCACCGTGCCGAGATTGTAAAACCGTTAGGGAATTATCCAGAAATCGCACGCACTTTTTCTAAAAAGAATATACACTATCGTATATCGCGATCGAGATAAACTCTGGCCGAGTCGCAAAAAGATATCGCCCGTTATTTTATTCATTATCTAATACGGCGCGCTACTATCGATATTCCATCGCGGAAAAATAATATCGCTTACCTAAGACCGCGCAAATGTATTTTTTTTCTCCTCGCTTAATTAATTCCTAATAGCACGCGTCCGACGATAATGTTCGTAAGGTAGACGTACCGTCATTAAAATATATATCGTTAGACGCCCGTCGGTGCGTACGTGCGTTTCCGCTCCGAAGGCGGTATGGACACAATGGCATTTACGTGACATTGTCGCGCGGTTGTAGTGGCGTTAATCATCACCGCTAATTGACACGTGGTTGAATTACACTCGCGGCTCGCCCATTGATGTGCGCCTTTTCCTCGTCGATTCATTAGGCAACCGATACCGCGAAGGCATGGCATTGAAAAAGAAAGAAAAATTGCAATCGCACCGTCGTGATCGCCGACGTCGTCAAACACGTTTTTCGTGTCCACCTTACCGTATGGTCGACCAATTGTATTAGTGCGTGCGTAATTTGAGCGTGTTACTGTCGAGAGATAAAAAGTCAAGCTGTCTACCAATCGTATATAATCGTAAATAATACGATTATGATAAGACCCGAGTACACACGGCGATCACAGGAGTTATTTCGCGCTGTGTTCAACGGCTTTTGATCAAATTAACTGTCGACCCGCCGACGGGAATTAAGTATAGATTAGTCTCAAGTTCTGAGAAAATAAGCGTAATCAGATGATCAATAATTTATCTTTGATTATCTTTTATTCATTACACTGAGAAAAAAAAAATATGATTAACTTGACTAAATTTTTCAATTTGATCAAATTAATTTTAACATAAATATATAAATACTTGAACTGAACAAATTTAACCAAGTTAAAAAATTTAATCAAGTCAACTTTGTTCTCAATGTAAAGAACCTTTTTCTCAGTGCACTATTAAGACAAATCACGCAAAAAAATAATTCACGCTATTCAACGATAAAATTGTAATTATTATAGTATAGATAATTCACTTTGAAAAATCTTTCTTCTTAACTTTTCACAATTTTCCATAGGATTCGTAATTCAAAACTATATTTGGTAAGTCTTTGCCATTTTGTGTTTTAAAGATACAAAAATATTTACTACAGGTTCGGGAGGCACGAGAGAGACACACGTCTCCTCTCCTTTTCGTATCCATTTGCGAGTCTATTTATAACAAAACTTTTACTTTTACATGTAAACGTCTGTGACTTTTTAAAAAAATCATCTTATATATTATGCGGCGAGCTAATCAGTGTAATTATGAGACCAGTTGGTTTTACACACTTTCAAGGTTTTCAACGATCGGCTTGGCTTTTGAAGCGTGTGCCTCCCCTCCCCCCCTCTCGCCCAAAATCCTCAAGCTACAACTTCGCGTAGCCGGCATTCACTTTCACCTCGCATAATTTATTCTATACCGAGCGTAAATTGAAGGCATTTGGCGTATGTAAGTCGCCAATTTAATAGCGCGATTACGAGATAAGACACTCTTCTTCTCTTTTTCTCTTTCCACCGGGACTACTTTAACGATGCCGATGTGTGTACTTTATGTCGCGAAGAATGCATCCCGCGCATGTTAATATCACTCGAACTTTCCATTCGCTGCGCTCTACGTCTGCCGGCAAGCGTTGAGTTATTTTTGCGCGCGAGAGGGAGAAAAAAAAAGCGGAGATTGGAATTCCCAAATAACGTTGGCGCGCACGAATATTTCAATCGCGACTTATTTTCATAGTAAATTTGAGTGTCGTTCAAATTTATTTGAGCCTTAAAGTCTCGCGATAACTCGCGATAATGCATCGACTACTATTCACGACCGGTTGCTCAAACGTCCTGCCTTGTCTATAAAATTTTGCCGTTTTTTCTTTTGTCACGCACGGTGATAACACGTTGCCACAACGTAACGCGATTATGAAAATCCTTTAATTATAAAAGAATGCGAAGAAAGATTGAGAAATAACCGGGAGGGTGCAACGTGGAGACGAGTAAAAAAAAGAGAACAGTCGAAAGGAAAGAAAAGAAAAAGATAGTGCATTGATAAAAATTGGAAAGTTAAATCGTTACAATGGGCCATAGAAAAGTCTAGCTATTCTTTTTTTTTTCTTTAAAATAGCCTTTAAATAAATATTTCTATAAAATGCTATGCCTGATGATAAAAGTTGAAAGTGACCTTCCGAGAGTCTCGCTAGCTATAAAATTATTTAAGGTTACAAGATTATCACGAAAAAAAATTTTATTTAAAATAGTTACTGAAATATAAAGCACAAATAAAAAATCATTAATTAAATGTAAACGCGATAATTTTTGTAAATTCAATATTCGTAGGATGTAGATAAATTAAATAAATGCTTCAAACAGATAAATTAAATAAATGTAAAAAAAACGAGGACTTAATTATAATAATTAAAACACTCGTACAATATAATGTTTAACGTTCTACCTTCTTCGATTTAAATAATAATTCGAATCATGGCATTCGATTTAGGTTTCAGATTAATAAAGAAGGTAATAAAGAAGAATAATAAAAAAAAAGACAAAAATTCTCTCTTTCTCTCTCTACTTATAAAATATACATGTAGTCGTTATAGCCCTGTTCTTTTGGATTCGGGTTATTCGAGTTTCGAGCAACAGCTGTACTTCTCGAAGGGGGAACGCCCCTTTTCTTACGGGATACAGCCGACACAGCAGTAAGCCGAACCGGCCCTTGAAAGCCTAAGGGAGTCTTTACATTCAACCTTGCTGCGCTTTTTAAACGATCTTTTTCGTCTTTTTTTTTTCTCTGTTTATCTGTCCCCCTAGTACGTTGCATTCTTAGGCGTCTCATGGAGATTAAGATGGCTCATGCAAATATCTGTTGCAACGTCGTATCGAAAATCTTAGTAGAAAAATATCGAACATATGTTTATTTTATTTAATCAACTATTTACGACAAGCAGTTCATTTTCATCGTGCTTTAAGCAAATAATCGTGATTTAGCAAAAGGAATTATTTATTTCGAGCGTAGAGAGCTTAGTTACTAAGTTTTCGTTACTCTTCCTCGTAGGCGTGGTTTCCATTCGTTATGAAGATAAATGTCGATGGAATATTATAATCGCCGTGCTATCTACTAAGACATGACATCATTTGTTATCATTATATAAACTTTATCGAAACGGTTAATATTAAATGATACTAAACGAAAACGGGCTGAGGATAGAGATATTAAAATCTCATTTGCTCAAATGAGATTGAAGCAAATGTAAATATTTAGATGTAACTTCTAATAAAATCGTCAGAGATTCCGCGGAACTTTCCGCGATCGGCTTAGCGCATAAATAGGAAATAAATAGCCGATAATACGAAAAATTGTGATCTCACGCGAGATATATTCCTCGGTAAACGACACAGGGTCGAAATACTGAACGGCGAAATTGTTTTATCAAGATCATTTTCCAGTTTTACGGCACGTCGCCGCGACATATAAAAGCGTAATTTGAATCGAGAGACGAATTACAAGTCGCATAATAAAAATAAAACAAAAATGGTATCCACGATAGTGACCGAGGCGCATACGAAATTTTTCGCTGTCCCGCAATCGCGGGCACATGAAGGTGGCACTCGCCGCACATTCAACGGGTCGATTATTTTTGACGTAAGGCACGCCCCGTGCTCGACTCCTCTACTTTCGATTCTCGTCCGGGTAGTTAGAATCGCTGATGTAAAATTCGACAATCGTACTTTAACAACGTCTTACACGTCTTACGTTAGACCGTAGTATTACTTTACCCCCCGGGGTTTAAAAAAATCCCCTAAATTAACCCAAAAACCCCGTAAACGGGTAAAAAAAACCCCCTAAGGGTTCCCGGGGGGGGGTAAACGGTAACCGTTAAAGGGTTAAAAAAAAAAACTTAAAAAAACGGGGGACGGTAAAAAAACGAAAAACGGAGGGAACGAACGAAGGGACGTAGAGAGAGAGAGAGAGAGAGAGAGAGAGAGAGAGAGAGAGAGAGAGAGAGAGAGAGAGAGAGAGAGAGAGGAGAGAGAGAGAGAAAGAGAGAGAGGAGAGGAGAGGAAACTAGGGATGAGGAAGCAGAGTAGTAATTAAAGAAGAAGACAGAGAGAGGGGAGAGCACTGAATCCGACGAAGATTTCTTGGGGGGAGACGACGTCGCGACGAGATCTTACACGAAATATGGTGAGCGAGCGACACGATACGACACAACGATCGGGTATCTCGTCGCGACTCTCTTATTCTCTCTCCTTGGCACGATATTACGACACACGCACGCAGCCACATGTACGCGCGTTCACACAACGCCGTTTCTCGCGGCGCATACGTACGACGCGCGTATACATATGCATACGCGAGCGTGTATGCATACGTCGGTAGGTACGTGTCTCGTTGCACCCGACGCACGCACGTACGTACACACATATACGCCGCGATAAGTCCCTCTCTCTCTTTCTCGGGCGCGCGCGCGCGCGCGCGCGCCCGCGAGTACGACGATCCTAGCCTCTCTAACGCGTGTAATCGCCAATGGACAACGAGAGCCACTCACCCGGTTCTTGAGGTACTCCTGGATGGCACGATACGATGAGTCGGTGAGCTTCACAAACATCAGAGACTTCCGCTCGTCGAAATTGCCGTGTGACGACAAACCATACTGGACACCTGGCCCGAGCGCCATTTCTCCGTCTCCCATTTCGCCGTGTGCGGCTTCGCACTGTCTCGCTCGCCCACACGGTCTCGCTCCTATCCGCGCACGACTCACGGTCCTCTTGGCGCAGCAACACAGCTGACGTCTTTCGTTCGGCTGCTCGGGCAACGCCGTAGAGCGGCGCACGACGACACGCACTTATCTCTCTTTCTCTCTGTTCCGTCCTCTCTCTTTTTTTCACGGCACCAACGTGTTTCTCTGCCGTAAACTTCTCTTCCTTTCCCTCTTTCTCACCGTCGTTGAAGCGGACGAGTTTTCGCGCGGCGCGAACTTCGCGCCGTACGGCGCGCGGAACGAACACCGACGACGACGGACGAGTCTTCAACCGGAATTTTTGACGCGCGACGAGACGAGATGTTCCCTCACGAAATGTGTTTTTCCTTCTCGCTCCTTCACACTACCACCTCTTCCTCCTCCTCCGCCGTCGTCGCAGCCGCCACCGCTGCCGCCGTCGTCGTTGTCGTCGTTGTCGTTGTCGTCGTCGTCGTCGCAGCCGCCGCCGCCGCCGCCGTCACCACCTCTTCTCACAGTGTCGTATATTCTATATATTTCTCTTTCTCTCTCTTTCTCTCACGATCAGTCGACACACTATATTCGCGATAGGAGCTGGGACTCCCCCCCGGACGCGATAACGCGCGACGTAGCACCCCGTGAACAATGTTATCGGCGAATCACCCCCGAGCGCGCTCGCGATTTCTCACCTGCTTGACTCCCACTCAACCGTCGCATATTAGCACGTCGACACGACTCATTTCAAATTTTTCTTACAATTGAACTGCCGAGTCCGGTGATCGAGGAGAGCAGCGCCCGTCGTTTCGGCGTAAGGAAACACAACTATACACTTTCGAACGGCCACCTGGTAGGCGGGGCTTAACGGAAGAGCCGTTGACCAATCGCGTCGCGCGCAAACGGATAACCCGACAGTCAAGCCAAGGACGACCTCGCCATCCTCGCGCGGTGACGGCCAACGATCGACTGCCAGCCGGCTTTTCCTGTTCCGCGCCGCGTACTGTTGCCGCCACCTATCGGTGTCGCGCGGACCTAACTTCCCTCTTCACGTAATAACGGCGCGTTCACACGGAAGAGAAATTCACCAAAAAATTTCTGGTCCATCTCTCTCTCTTTCTCTCTCTCTTTCTCGCATAATAAATTTATTTAATTATCTCCGCGGTATCACATGTTACGTTTTTAATAAGATAAAATGAAGAAAAGTAGCTATGATGTTCCTTGCCGTGCCTGATTGATCGTCTTTACGAATGTGAAACATGAAGTCACCAATATCTTGCGTTTTGATATTCCGACATTGGAGTCATAAAAATGCTAGGGAATTTAATTTGATTTATTAACTTGATAGAGATAAGAGCAATTTCTCATGATACGAATTTTAACAAATGGCTGAAATTCGTCGAGAATTTTCTTATCTAGGAATTTTACGAACAAACCAACAATGGCGTTGACATCACTGTATCTTGACGTAAGAGTCTCGTTCTCTCATTAAGTCTCGATCTGCCAAAATAGTTCGATTATCTCGTCATTTTTCGAAGCCTACTTGAAAATGCCATCGCATAGGTTCATCGGGATAGCAATGTTTGCGGTAATTACGTACTTTGATATCTTATTGGTCACCGACTTTTGGGATGGAGCGAGAGATCCGATGGGACCATATCCGAGAATACCAGACAAAGATAGGCTGGAGGTAATCTAACCTTTGTGATCGTTAATGAAATCTATTCTCTTTAACTGGGCTTCTTACAGTCTTATAGTTTGTTTTTTCTCTTTTTTTTCATATTAAAGAGAAAAAAAAAGAGAAAAATGAGCCACGCAAGAAGGTCAGCTCAAAAGAACAAGTCTATAATTTTAATTTCCTAAGTTTACATTGAACTAAATCAGTGTTATAGTATTGACTTGAGTTTAACTTCAAAATTATTTTGATTGCGGTTAACATCAATCAATATTAATGAAACAATTGGATAAAAGCAGGTTTATTAAGTTTAAGTATTTCTAGTATCGATAAAAGAAAGTTAAGATTTTTCTTTATTGTGTTACAGAAAGAAATTAAATTCGCAGAAGAGTGCAAAAAATATTACAAAGCGCCACAAGAAGTGTTCCTGTCTGATACCTAAGAAAGAAATTTATTAATTTTAAATGTACAGTGAATATATGCATGTATGTCTTTTCCACAAGGAAAAATGTAGCAATAAATGTTATAATAAATTGTATAATAATTTAATCATGTTTAATAATTTATTAAAAAATTATCTTTTGAGGAAAGGTATAGAAATGTATCGGAGGTTTACATTTCTGTAAGAAAATTGTATTGTAGAATAGTAATTTATTCTACAAATGTTGACGGTGTCAATGTTGATTTCTATAAAAAAATTAAAAAATTATGCCAACTAAAAGTAAAAA